GCCCGTCCCCAGCTGCAGGCTCTGCGAGCAGGCGCTCGGCTGCTCCGCTGCATTTTCACAGCAGAGTCCAAAAGCCGTTTTACCTCGGTGTGAGGCGGGCACGGTTCGGTGAGCTCTTTCCTGCCAGGCTGCGGGGTCGGGCTCCCCCAGGTGAGCGCGAGGGCGGCTTGCTGTGCCGTGCTGTGCCAGCGGCGGCAGCCTGGCCGGTGTGATGACACTTGTCCTCTCGGGTGCCAAACAACCTCGTGCCCCTGTGAACAGCACCGGGAGTCCTTGGCCGCATTCCCTTTGGGTGGTGGGTGTCCGGCATCCCCCCGAGGAGCTGTGGTCCTGGAGTGGGATGCTGACCCACGGCTGCTGCACGGGCAGCGGGGCTGGGGCCGGCGCTGGGCTGGGGCCCCGCGGGCGTCACAGGAGCCCCCAGGACAAAGCGGTGAGCCGGCAGCCTTGGCCGGGGCTGCCTTCGAGCTCTGGTTCCCAATGGCACCTTCTGCTGTGGCCACGGGAGGTGGTGTCATACGCAGTGACTTCTCCGATGCTCCTGCGTGGATTCTCTGCGGTCCCTCCCGGGGGAATTGCTCTCAGGAAAGCAAAATCTGCCTGTTACCCCTGGCACGCTGAGAGCAAACCCGCAGACCTGGTTATTGCCCCAGCGAAGTTTTACAGACACAGGAGCTTCGCATCCCGCAGCCGCCGTTGCAGAGCGTGGGCAGAGCGTGCTGGGCTCTGCTGCATCGGGTGCTCTCGCGGGGAGCGCGCGGCCGCTGAAACTTCCTCTCAGAGTTGTCTCATCTGCCCAAATGAAGCTCTTCTGGAGGCAGTTTTCTCTTGCACGTGCGTGCAGCGCGCAGGGAGACAGGTACAAGGCTAATGGGGGGCTCTGGTTAATCTGCAGAGGTGCGATGCCTCTGAGGGCAGTGAAGGTGCCGGTGCCCCTCGGCACGGGGAGAGGCGTCTGAACGCCCCCGAGGACTGTCTCGTTTCACAGTGCATCAGTCACTGCATAAAAAGCCGCCCCTGGCTGCATCCCGAACGGATCCCATCACACGCGTGTGCCACAGGAGCCTTTTCAGACTTGACCTCAGCTGATGCCTGAGTGGGTCCCACCGCGTTCTGCGAGTGAGGGGGGGAGGAGGGCGGGGCGGGGGCGCGCAGGGCAGCCAGCCCATGCCTTGGGCTCGAGGCAGCCCTGGAGGGGTGGGACGCGGAGGCTGCAGGGGTGGACCTCGTGGGCAGCCGGTGGAGCCTCTCCATTGCCTCCAGGTATTTTGGTGAGACTGCCGTGGCGATGCCGCGAGCAGAGAGCTGGGCGCCAGGAGATGCAGGCGGCGGAGCGAGGGGAGGGCTGCAGTACCACCCTGATGGCACCGGCCGTGCGTCACCAGCGGGATTTCCAAAGGAGGCTTCACGTGCGCGACGGTTTTGAGGCCATCATCGTGTGGGAGCAGCCGGGCCCCGTGAGCCCCCCCTGCCCCTCGGCCGAGCTTTGCTGGGCAGCACCGCTGTCCTCCCTCTGCCGCTCCATCCAGCACAGGCGCTGTCTGTCCTTCTCCTTCCTTCTGTTCCGTCCGGAGCTGGAGCGGACACTGCACACCCCACGGCACCCCCCAGCCCTTTCCTCTGCGCTGTGCAGCCAGTTCTCCTCTCCTGCTGACTTCCGCGGGCGACTGCCCACAGCGCTCCATCAGCCCGTCGGTGCTGGCCGAGGGCCAGCGCTGCAGCAGCGGGGCGAGCAGGACGGATGGGCTCTCCCTGCATGGCCTCCTGCGGAGGCAGAGTTTGCCACCCGGAACCAGGATGACCCCGCTGTGGCCACAGCACTGCCCGGGGCTCACCGCCTCCCATCGCCGTGTCGTCGCCCTGGTGCGTGCCGGGCTCCGGCACCGGTGCCGTGGGCAAGTCGTTTTAGCAGCTGCATAATCGCAGCCGGGGCTTCATGACTCTCTAAACGAAGTACTATTTATTTAAAATGTGGAGACATTTATCATACCGTTCCAAGCCCCAGGAGCGGGTTAATGCCAGACCGGCAGCGTTCCCCGATTGCACAGCCTGCGTCTGCCGAGTGATTATTTGATCAGATAGCGCACGTGTTAAATGTATTTGTCGGGAAACAGAAACCTGTGTTATCTGAAGGAGACTGTCAGAAGCAGCCTTTGATCTGCAGAGACGCGGCGCTGTAAAGCGGGTCCCCCATCGGCTGCAGGTGAAGCAGGTCCCCCATGCACTGCAGGTGAAGCAGGTCCCCCATGCACTGCAGGTCCCCCATGCACTGCGGCGCAGCCGTTCCCAGGTCCTTGTGCAAACCCCAGAGCGCTGCCGAGGGCAGGCAGCAGGGAGGGCTGTCGGGGGGCACTGAGGGGCCCGATCCTGCCGGCACATCCCCGACACCTGGGCACCATTTGTTCCGCCATAAAGGGGCAGAGACAGCAGGGTCCGAACGATTTTACCTCTTCTCCCTCTCTGGCCGCAAGTGAGGGGGTTTCCCAGGGCTGCGTCACCTGGTTTAAGCTTTTCAGAAATAAGTAAAATAGTGGGTTTGATCCCAAACCTGACACAGACTGAGAGGACCCCACTCTTGGTAAGTGCTGAGCGGGGGGGGGGGGGGTGAGACCACGGCGGAGGTACGGCTCTGCTCGGCACAGACCCTGTGGGCAGCTCCGCTGAGCAGAGGTTCATGAATTATCAGGGTGTATTTGCGTTCTTGTCCATGAGCAAAGTGTTACAGCGGTCGATTGTAAATTGGATGGAAAATTTTGGAGCAGTTATATTGCTGTCGTGTAACGGGTTCAATACGCAGCGTTGCACAGCCGTGCGCTTGGTCGGGGTAAATCCCGTTGCTGATAAATCAGCCCTCGTGTGGGGGTCTGCGGCCCTTGGGGGTACGATTCTGGAGAGCAGAGGAAGTACTGAACCAGAAGAGCCTCAGTATAACTCCTGATTCTTCTTGGCTCACCGACGTCAAACCTTCAGCACATAGGAAAACCGTTTCTGGAAAAAATAGTGATCATCTTTCTGATGGAGAGGATGCACAGCCCATCTCCAGCGGTGACCCCTATGGCTGGATGAGCTGTGGGTGGGTGTCACTGGGGTCTTGAGGGGCTGTGGGTGGGTGTCACCGGGGTCCTG